TGAATAGTTTCCGACCAGTAATAACTAATAACCATTTTATTCAAGATACCATAGATCTTAATCTCCAAGCATCAACTTGAAGGGTAATGAGATATTTGTGTGTATGTAACTTTGCTTGGGACACAAATCTCCGAATCTATGTTTAATTCTTGGGCATTTAAGGGTTTTGGAATTTAAAAAAAAAAGGAAGAAAGAAAAATCAACAACATTACAATAAAAAATCGTAATCGTCACAAATGTCCGGCATACCAAATATTACAAGTGCCATTATGTTATTATTTTCTTTAACTTTAGGCAATATTTTAAGTATCTTAATACAAATTTTCCGTATGAAATATAATAACATTCCAAATGAAATAAATAAAATAAGAGGACCATACATTTACTTAATTGTCACGTTTCGCGGACACAAACATTTGGATTTCGAACAAAGATCTTCCTCCTCCACCTTCACGCGTGTCTGTTTCATAACAGCCTTTGTACATGTGCTTATTATTATTACTCGAAGTCAGATTTCCCATATATATATATATATATATTATTAATTATAACATGCACTCTCTTTTTTCATTTCTTTATTTATCTTTTTAAAAAATCAAACCTTTATCTATTTTTTTTTTATCTTCATCGAAATTATTTATATTCCGAAAAAGTACTAAAAATTGGTATATTTAGCCGGCATTGCCTCACTGTTTTCTGACTCAATCCATGTGGCGGTCAGTGGGCCTGGCCCACTTTCCCCTCTCTCAGCTCGGTTTACGAGAAAGCGAAGCATACCTATCTGACGTCACCAACCATCACTTTTATCCTACGCACATGCGCCGCTCATGTTAGCATTGCTCAACGTTGTATGCTCACGTCGCTAAATTACGCATTCCCAGCGCACTTTAGCCGCTCACTTATTATCGCGCCTTCAATTAGAAGCCACGACACGTGTCGATATTTTGCACCGTCCACGTAACCATTTCTGGTTTCTTATCTTCGTCCCTACTTTTGTCATTCTAGGTTTTCTGAGATTTCACTCCATCCCTTTGCTTCTTCTTCTGTCCAGTGAGTTCCTTTCGAACGGTTCGATCGGAGTCTCTGGAGTGTTCTCTGCCGTCCGATTAACCGGCGATGGGGTCGATCCCCGATCCGGGCGAGTTGACTGAGTTGACTCAGCCCAGCTTCGACGAGTTCCAGCGGCAGACGTCGCTGATGACGAGCTGCACTCTTCTGTGGAAGGAGCTCTCCGACCACTTCACTTTGCTGGAGCAGAATCTGATGAAGAAGTCGGAGGCTTTGAAGCAGATGATCGAGACCCTAGACAACCAGACTCAGGCCTCGCTGGAGTCGCTCAAGCATCGCGAGGTCACGATCGAGGACAGCGTCAAGATCGCCATGGGGAAAGCTGAGGAGAGTGCCAAGTCTGCTCTGATGTTGCTCGAGAAGGCTGGAGATGGCGGTTCAGGCGCCGACGATGGTGGTGAGGTCGACGATGGTGATGGCCTGCTTTCGTTGCTGAAAAGTTTCTGCCTAAAGATGGACGCGAGAAAGTTCTGGAACTTCGTGACGATGCGGAAGAAGGAGCTGGAGAATCTCCGGGCACAGATCCCGGCGGCACTGGTGGAATGCGTGGATCCGTCGAAGTTCGTGCTCGAGGCGATTTCCGAGGTGTTCCCGGTGGACAAGAGGGCCGGGAAGAGCAGCGGAGACGAAGCCAGCGAGAAAGCTACCAATGATCTGGGATGGGCTTGTGTGGTGATTCTGGAGAGCTTGATACCGGTAATGGTGGACCCAGTGATTGGGAAATCACGGCTGCTGGTGACACCGAGCGTGAAGGAGAAGGCTAAGGAGATCGCCGAGACATGGAAGGCGAGCTTGGAGGAGAGAGGAGGGATCGAGAACGTGAAGACCCCCGATGTTCACACGTTTCTGCAACATCTCGTGACTTTTGGAATCGTTAAGAATGAAGATCTCACTCTGTACAGGAAGCTTGTGGTTGGATCGGCATGGCGCAAGCAGATGCCTAAGCTCGCTGTCTCAGTAGGTTTGGGTGATCAAATGCCTGGTAAGCTCATGTTTTCATCTCGACCCTCTTCATTGATTGAATCCACAGTATATGTGTGTTCAGTTGCGTTTGAATTGGCTTCAGTGTTAGATGAGTTGTTCAACTTCCCAAGTTTAGGTCTTTTTCCCTTTGCTTTGGTATATATCTCTGATTTTAATCGTCCCTTCACATTTTAATAGATGTGTTTTGTATAAAAAATCTCTGGTTACAAGGTTTGAGAATCCCAAAAATTTTATTGCTGTTTGAGGTTTGCTGTTCTTCAGACAGTTCTTCAAAGTCAGAATGGCTTTGATGATAAATATCAGTATCCATATATACCGTCAGTGTATATATGGCAGGCAAACTCTGGTTGCCATTGCATTTGAATGGTGACACAGAGTTGTCTTAGACTTGAGTAAAAGAGAGGGATTCGAACTTTTGGGTAGAACAGAAGTAGATTGCATACATATAAAGTTCGATCCTTTTGCGGTTCTTATTCCATATAATCCGAAGTGGAGATTGATGGTTTGAGCCATTATGATTCTGGCAGACATGATTGAAGAATTAATCAGCAGGGGACAGCAGCTCGATGCAGTGCATTTCACTTATGAAGTTGGTCTTGTGGACAAGTTCCCTCCAGTTCCTTTACTGAAAGCTTATCTAAGGGATGCGAAGAAGGCGGCAGCCTCTATCATGGAGGACCCCAACAATCCTGGCCGAGCTGCGGTATATACTTCCTTTTTCCGTAATAAAAACTATGCCGTTCCCTTCTGTTTTTTCGCAAATGAATCATTCTATTGATAATCTCAAACTCATTTTCATGTTCTATTCTAAGCTCTCATAGTAGCAGGTTATGTTTCAGTATGTCACCAGAATTGTTGTATGACCTTTTTGTGTGGTATCAAAGCTTCTAACACTGTTGTTTTTTCCCAGCAACTGGCGGTACGCAAGGAGCAATCGGCCCTTAGGGCAGTCTTAAAGTGCATAGAAGAGTACAAACTCGAGGAAGAGTTCCCACCCGAGAATCTCAAGAAGCGCTTGGATCAGCTCGAGAAGTCCAAAACCGAGAAGAGAAAGCCTGCAGCCGTTCCAGCCAACAAGAGAACCCGAGCAAGCTACAATGGCCCGATGCCGCCAGCAAAGGCAGGACGTATCACAAACGCATATGTCTCCTCCTTCCCGACCCCTCCCACTTACATCCGGTCCCCGACCCACTCCCCTCAGTACGCCTCCCCACCATATGCATCATTCCCGCCGCCACCCACCACTGTCTACAGCAATGGCAGCCCTCCATATCCGTACTCTCCTGAAGTGGGTCACATCTCATTCCCCGGCTCTCCGATCAGTTACCCTGCACCTTACAGCGGCTACTGCAATGGCCCGGCTCCTCCTCCTCCACCACCTCCGGCCTATCACCACCACCCTCACCAGCACCAGCACCACCACCACCACCAGCAGGCTTACTACTGAACTGATTAGGCAAGTGACCAAAAACTGGAAGATGGGTAACCTTTACTGATACAAGCCCGACAACTCTCTTCTCTGGTGTTCTCCCTCACTGGATCTGCTTCCATGTCTCTACGCCGTCTTTTTTGTCTGTAATAATCTTTTTCTCCTCCAAATTCCGCAGCTAACTCTACCCTTTTCTTTAATCTCAAGTAGCTACATCTCCCGGTGTGTTTAATTAATTCTCTCTCTTATTATCGTCGCTGTAATTCTCCCTAATGCTCAGACCAAGTATTGTAGGTTACTTAATGTGACATCTTATGTTATCTCTGTCTCTTACTTCTGCCGAGAATGTCTCCGTGATTTACGTAATTAAAAGTTGCTTCTTTTTCCGTGAAGATCCATTTTTTACCAAATAAATTACAATTTTTTCGTGTATGCAGGGCTCGGGCAGGGTTTACATCGGCGTTCCGGTGTGTTTTTAAGTTTCATTTTCCGTCTTTTTCGCTTGCCAGATTCAGAATCTGTTCAGATGGCTTGAGTAGATATGTACCAGACTTGATCGAGATGAACAGATTTTGATTGTTTGGTAAGGGAGCAAAGTTGTTCATCAGAAGCGTCAGAGGAAACGTGTTTTACGAGGAATCGCATCTGATACCGTTGCCCACATGTCGTGAGGATGCGGTTTACCATTCTGCAGACCAAGTGTTCGACGATTTGCTCCAAAGACTACACCTAGTTTAACCACCACATTTTTCTGGCTCTTTCTCGTTCAAAGTTGGTGCCTTTACGGCCTAAGATCAGCAGATAGTGATCTTCCTTGTTGTTCCAGTCCAATGGCTTTTATGGTATTCAGAAGAATCCCCGCCCGTTTGCCAGATTTCACCTCTCGTTTCCTCTCTGCATCGAGGTGTGTTTGCTCGCGATCCTCCGGACAATCTCGTTTGGCTGGTTTTGGTGTGGAGACTGTGGATGATGATGCTTGGCACGTCTCGTCCAGTTTGGCTCAAGCATGGCGAGAAACCCAGACAGATACAAGAGGAAGTATTTCCGCACATATGCATGATGAAGAAATAGTTGATGAGGGTGACATTGATCACGATGAGATCGACAATTTGAGAATCCATGGCAATCTTTTCTACAAGATTGATCGAGGGTCAAAGGAATTCGAGGAGTACAGCTTCGAATTCCACCGCAAGAAACACCTGAAAACAAAGAAGGAAGAAAACTGGGAAGAGGCGAAGAAGAAGGATACTGAAAAGAGTAGTAAAGAAGAAACCCGCAGGGAAGATAAGAAGAAGAAGAAGAACAATGACCTAAGTCATGAGAGAGCTTCCAAGATGAACCCTTTCTCAAGTGAAATCGATAACCCTAATGCTCTGGTCAAGAAGAAAGAACGGACGCCGACGTTCAACCAGATCACGGCTCCGTTTCACTACCCGTTCTGCCTAGACATATACATCTCAAAGGCCTCGGTCCGTGCCTCAGTTATTCACCGGGTGACCAGCAAGGTTGTAGCCGTTGCTCATTCCATCTCAAAGGACATAAAATATGATATGGGTTCGACCCGAAATGCAGAGACTTGTGCTGCTGTGGGGAGAATTCTGGCCCAGAGAGCCTTGGAGGATGATATACATGACATCATCTATACTCCTAGAAGACGGGAGAAACTCGAGGGTAAGCTTCAGATCGTGCTTCAAGCGATTGTTGACAATGGCGTCAATGTTAAGGTGAAGCTCAAGCAGAGGAAATTTAGGAAGAGTAATCTGCCAGTTCATCCACCAAAGCATGAGTTCTAAAGAAAGGTTAATTCGTATAGTTCAGAAACTGATTCATGTCTTTGTTCTTGTGAGTTTGTTCATTAGCTTTGGTCTCTGCTGTAAGAAGAAGCTCTGTTGTAATGTCGGTTCTCAGCTCTAGAAACAAAGAACCGGGCAAAACTGATCAGATTCTAAAAGAAGAGAGTTTCCATGTAGTAATTTAGCTTGCAAATCTACACTTCTCATGGAGTTTAAATTATTTTCTTATAAAAGAAAATTTGTGTTTCGTCCAAATTAGTTTTTTACTTCACAAAAGCATTATTCAAAGCTTACAAAAACCAATTGTGCAAAAAAATACACATTGATTGAGAAAATACAAATACATAAATCAAGATAATGAGTATATACGTGTATAAGTATATATATATATATATATATATATATATATATATATATATACACATGTATATATAATATCCGCCGATACTAACGGGAGCCCTAGTAATATGCTAAAATTATTAATTTATTACATATATCAATTTTTGTTTTAATACAAAATTGCGGTGAGTCGCTCCGCGAAGCCGGAGAGGAGAGAGCCCATCAGCAAAGGTGCAAATATTTTGGCAGCAGAGGTGAAGGTGCCCTTTGAATTTTCTCACTAAACCCTAGAGAATCTTCAGGTTCTTCTTCTTATTTATTGTTTTGTTGCATCGAAACGATCTCTTCATTTTTCTGATTCGTTTCGCCATGCCTAAAGAACGAAGCTTTAATGGTATGAACGATGTCTGGATTCGTCGATTTAGGGTTTTGATTGGCGATTGATGGAGTGATTTGCATATCGCGTATGTTGTTGTATGTTGGGTCAGATTCATAAATTTCTTCGGATGCAGACTCTGTATGGTTAGGATTTAGGGTTTTAGAGTTTGGGGTTTCGTCTGTGAGATCAATGCATATATCAATTGGCATGCGAAGTTATCGGCTTGTGGATATTTGGTAGAAATTTTTGGTGTCTCAACGTATAAAGATGGAGACTTTCTGTGACATTTTGTGTGCATTTGGGGAAAACATTGAAGGGTTTGTTTTGTCTACTCAATTGGGATTGGATAAACTAAGTTGATAAGTTTCTGAATGGCCGGTCCAGAGCATTCATTTGGTAATGTGTTCATATCCATTGCTTTTGTTGATGCAAGAGTTTGTGGATGGAACCTCTACTTGCTGAATCTGACGTATTAGATCTGTCTATCGGATCGATGATGTCTGGTTCATCGATGTGTGATACACCGGTGTATGGGCATGTAGCTAGTGTCATTTCCGTAAAAGTTTGAGCTGAATTCTTACACCGAGGAAATACGTGTTCTTGCGTTATGTATGGTTGAGCTTAAAGGATGGATGGATGGTTGTTGTTGTTTCGAATCTTTCAATAGAATAGAAAGAACTCAATGCCTTGTAAGATTTTGCATTGGTAACTTTGTTATGAAGGAATCTGGATAATCCTGATGAGTAATTCCAATGTATAGATATTTGCATCATTCTCCTATGCCCATACTATCTTCTGCCACCGAGATTTAACAGCTCAAATCGTTCTGCAAGGAGAGATTGTGCATTTCATGATTCAGTGGTGTGGTACTGATTAATGCTGCTAAAAAAGAAGTATTCAACCATGTGATGATCTGAAATTCTGATTCATAAGACTGGATTTTTCGTTGCAGGGAGGAGGACAGTCACAATGGCCAGCAAATCTGCTAGTGACCGCAAAGAACCTCCGAATGAGCAAGCGGTTGCAAACATATACACGGCCATGAGATCAGAGCTGAGCCAAATCTACTCCAACATAACCGAACTCGAAATGCAAGTGAGCGAACACACGTTGGTCATCAACGCCATTCAACCGCTCGACCCATCAAGAAAATGCTTCCGAATGATTGGAGGTGTGCTCGTCCAGAGAACCATCAAAGAGGTCCTCCCAGCCGTTCAGCGCAACAAGGAAGGGCTTGAAGAGGTTGTCAAGAAGCTGTATGAGACACTCGAGAAGAAAAAGAAGGATCTTTCTGAATTTGAGGCCAAGTATAAGATTAGGATAAGGAAACACGATGATTCCAAGGAGGAGGAAGGTAACAAGAAGGAAGGTAACGCTCAAGGTGTTCTTGTCGGACCGGCGAGCTCAAGCCAGTGAACTCCAGTTTTTGTCTGCTGTCAAGATATTTGAATGTGACCTTTCTCTGAAAATCTTGGTTGTTTTGATTGTTCAGAACCATTAGAGACTACAAGAAATGTGATCTGGGAATCAGTTTTTGTGCTTGAATCTCTCGTTGGATTGCGAAGTTGTGCAAAATACAACAAAATTAGGGTTTCCACAAGTGCCCAGAAGGAAAGAAAAAAGAGAGCTTTTTTTCTTGGTTCAGCTGAAGAAATCTTGAACACCTTTTCCGGCGAAAACACGATCGGAGAGCTCGGCCAAGATGAAATTGACGGTGAGCAAGACGACGCTGGATCCGGCGATGACGCCGAGCACGACGCCGGTCGTACCGAGCACCTTCTGAAACGCCGGCCACTCGATTTCCCTCACCTCCTCCGCCACTCCGCTCAGAAGCTCACTCTTCCCTCTATCCTCCTCCGCCGCCGATTTCCTCTGCTCCATCGCCGCCTTTATCTCGGCTCCGATCAGGCTCTGCTCCTCCTCCGCGTATTTTCCGCCTTCCGACGCCGGAGAATCCGACTCTGGCTCCGATTCCGTGGTATCTCGGCTCTGTTCAATGGCTTTAGCCACCACCACACACGGCGGTTTCCTCAGCAATCTCGTCGAGGCGGAGATTGCGGAGCATCGGACATCGGGATGAATCGGAAAGAAGCGTTGACTTGCAGACGGAGATTCGCAGAGGGAAGCCGTCCTCCGGTGGCTACGGATTGTTCCGGTCACAGGCGGTGAGAGGTTTACGGACAGTGGCATCTTCGACGCGACGCAATAGAAGAGTACAGGGAATTTTTCGCCTTTTTTTAATTTTAAAATTTATTTGTGGATAATTCCCAGAGGAGTAGCGATCCAGTGCGGGCGCCAGTACATTCGGTTACGCTACACATTTGGGCCTTCCATGAAAATGGGCTCATTGGATCAAAGTTATAGATTCAGCGATTACGTTAGGCCCAATAAAGGCCCATTATCTTAAGCGCTTTGATCATTCGTTCCCTGAGTTCATAACTAAAAGGGAAAATCAGCCGAATAATCCGTCGCATCTATTTAAGTGTACACCACCAAAAAAAAAAAAAAATTCAATTTTAACCCACTTTTCGGTGGGAAAAGTCTGAAATACCCTTTTCGTTTTATTTTTTGCGACTTTATTACGGCTAACATATAACTGATATACAACTAAAAATAAGACAGATGATTTTTTGCCACCTTTTTTAGAATCAATTGTAACTATATTTAGACTTAATTACGAAGTCGTAATAACGAAGTTGTTTTCGAACGGATAAATATCGTAATTCATTAAGAGTAATTTTGTCTTTTCGCAGAGAAAAAAATGTGTTATGTTTTCGGTGATGTACAGATGAAATAGATGCGACCCAAGTGGGTTATTTGGGTAAAAAACCCTAACCAAAACGATTACCATATTTCTATAATAATCAGAAGATAAGACATAATTCTTGCTCTAAGATTTGTGTTAATGAATCGATTATTGCATTTTTCATGCATTGTATACATCTAGAATTAAAAACAACACAATTTGAAGGAGAGAAATTGAATATCCGTCGCCGGAGTGTATGTATCAACCAGAATTCCCCGGCGGCGGAGAGAACAATGAGGCAAGCGTGTCGGCGAAAGCAGAGACGATGAACTTGTGGGTATGCTTCGGATTCAACGAGAGATAACAGAAAAGCAACTCGTGCAAGAATTCACGATCGCCGGCAACGTCCCTCAACGTCGTCGGAGAATTCCTCGCCTCCACCATCTCCCTCATCGACCGCCGGAAATCTCTGTACGGATCCGGCGACTCCACGTGCTTCATCACGGCCACTCCTCCCGTCAACAGCTTCGAAACAGCCACGTTGCCGCCGTCCTCCTCCTCCGTGGCCACGCCCGGCCTCCGCCGCGGCTTCGACGAGAACACGGTGGCGAAACCCGCGAACTCGGCTTCCACCCCAAGCTGTTCCGGCGGTGGTGGGGGGAGGAGAGGTGGTCGTAGAGGAAGTTGAAGTTGTGGATGAAGATCGACGGCGTGTGGTGATGATGATGATGACGGCGGTGAAATGGACGGTTGTGATCGGTTTTGGTGGAGGGGGATGATGAAGGAACGGACGGTGAGGATCTGGTGAGATGGCCGCCGGAGGAGGAGGAGAAGCAGAGGTGTAGTTTTTTCCAGAGAAGATTCGACATTTTTTTTTTGGGTTCTGTAATGAAAGGACAACATATTACAGCATAGAAACATGTAATATATATATATATATATAAACGTGTGTAAGCATATGTGAAGTGTGTGATTTGCATAAGAGGAGCTCACGTAGTGAGAAGTGCAATCTTCCTCAGCAGCTGGATCCAATTATATTCATATATTTTACAAATTCAATCTATTTATCGAACATTATATTAACATTCATTAATATTAAATTCTCATTTGTATTCATGAGATCAAATCTAACAGAACCGGTTAAACCGGTTACCAGTAATCTTTGCAAGAACAAAGTCCATCCCTAAACCGGTGAAACCGGTTATTGTCCCTCACAACAATCTCCCTCCCAACACTTTTAGAAGCAAACTTGAAGAAACTGTGACAATCTCCACAGATTCTGAGGTTCTTGGTGATTCTGATGGGCACACCGGCCGGGAGAGCCACGAGGCCAAAGGCCAAAGCCAGTTTCTCGCTGTGGTGAGCGACCTCGGCTGCTTTCTCTTCTTCTTCCAGGTCGTAGAGGGAGAGTTTCGAGTCAGGTTTGTACCCTTCAGCCTCCATTTCCATCCTCAGCTTGGCCAGTCTTGCTTGAATCTCATGGTTCATTCTATGGGATGTGTCCTTTGCTTGGAAAGCATGCACTTGGTTCTTCACCGTGATCCAGCTATACCCGGCTCCTTTCTTGATCCCTACGCCTTTCATTTCCTCCCGCACGGCATTTGCTTCCGCCCACCTGTTGTTGTTCATCAGTTCACAGTTCGAGATCATGTTATTTCTTAAGACAATGTGCGTTAAAGAAACAAGAACTTGGTTGAAAACCCGTGTTCTCCAGCTAGTAACGCATTCAGAATATGATGTAAGCTCCCCATTATGTGATTTCTCAAACGTTTTCCACTTATTCTGGCCTCATTTAGTAGATGATATCGCCAAACGAAGATTATCAGAGAATCGGAACTTCAGATGAGAAATTTACTTACCTCCCAGTCGCTGCATACAAATTGGAAAGCAGTACATGGTGGCCTGAATCTTTTGGATCAAGTTTAAACAAGTTCTCAGCCGCTACTTTTCCCAGCTGTGGCTTACTATACACCCGACAAGCATTCAGGAGAGCACCCCAGACTGAAATCGTGGGCTGAAACGGCATTTTCTGTATAAACTCATAAGCACTTTCTACCATCCCCGCACGGCCTAACATGTCCACGACACAGGCATAATGCTCGGCCCCTGGATCAATGCCGTACCTACTCTTCATCGATTCAAATAGCTCCATACCCTTATCCACTGCCCCTGCCCTACTACAGGCAGAAAGTATGGACACAAATGTCAAGTAATTGGGAGTCAACTTGTATATACCTGACGCGATTTCATCAAATATCTGTATAGCCGAATCAATCCCACCCTGATGAGTATATCCTCCTATCAACGAATTCAGAGTCACTAAGTTCTTTTCAGGCATCTCATCAAATGCCCATTCTGCATCTTCTATGCTTCCACATTTCCCATACATATCGACAAGAGCACTTCCGACAAAGATATTCCCTTCTATGCAAGCCTTAACAGCAAGAGCGTGAATCGATCTTCCCAATTCAAGACCTGCCATTCCAGCACAGGCGCTTAGAGCGCTCGAGATCAAGAAATCAGTGGGCTCGATCCCTTCATTCCTTGCACGTGAAAACAACACGGAAGCCTTCTCGTCCTCATGATTCTGCACATGCGCAGCCAACAATGAACACCAAGAAACAGCATTTTTCGTTCCCATTTCAGTAAAAACCATCTCAGCACAACAAATCTGTTCACATTTCCCATAGAAATCGATCAACCCATTGCTAACCGACACATCCGTATTGAACCCACTTCGTAATATGAACCCGTGCAACTGCATTCCTAGTTCCAAGGATAACCTGTCGGAACAGGCATTAAGGAACGCGCAAAAAGTTATCGAATTTGGGTCTCCACCAATCCTTCTAAACTCGATAAAGGCTTCAATCGCGTCCCTAGACCTTCCATCGGCCACCGCGTTAGATATAAACGCGTTCCAGGTTGCGCTATTCCGCTCGGGAATTTCATCGAACAGCTTCCGAGCATCAACCCTGAGCCCAGTCTTAGAATACATATCAAAAGCGCTACATCCTACGAATACATCCAATATCCGACCATTCTTCACGGAGAGCGCGTGAAGCTGCTTCCCGGTGACTGGTAAACGGAGAGAAGCCGAAGCCTTGAAGGCACAAGGTAACGTGAAGTCATTGGGAGAGATACCTTCGCGTCGCATGTTGCAGAAATCAAACAATGCGGAGGAGAAATGACCGTTCTGGACAAGTCCGGCGACAAGGGCAGTCCAGGAGACAACATTGCGAGCCGGAGTGCGCCGGAGAACTATCCGAGCCGAGTCCTGGAGGTCGAGTTTGGAGTACATATTGATGAGGTGGTTGGAGAGGAAAGGAGGAGGCGGCGAGTCGAGGGTCCTGACGATCTTGGCGTGTACGACTCGGCCGAGTCGACTCGAGCGTCTCGCAATGGCATCCTCGACGAGTAAGCCGAGCGAGTTCGCGCTGAGGTAGGTCATGTGGATCGCGGGCGGAGGATGCGGCCGCCGGAAAGTTCATGGTTTGGGCCAGCGGTGGTGGAACATTGGAAAGATGAAGGGTTTTCGCACTGGGGGTTTAAGCTAAAGTTGTGCTTGGTCTAATTTGAAAAAGTGGAATTTGCAAAAAAGTCCCTACATTGTTCAAAATACACAAAAATAACTTCAACTTTAAACAATTAAAATCGGGTACCATTTACCAACAAATTCACCATGTTTCCTGTTCATGCTCTGTTCGGAAAATTACTGTCCTCTAGCCTTACAAACCTCCCAATGTCTCTGATCTCTCTCTCTCTCTCTCTCTCTCTCTCTCTCTCTGTCAAAGTATGATTTCATGAATCATAACCCTCAAAAAAGGATTCATTAAGAAATGAAACTATAAACGAATTTACTGAATTATTATGCATAATTAGCATAAACAGTTTTTGATATATATATATATAAAAAAAAACCATCCTTTTCCATGAATTCGGACATTCAAAATCTCTTATGTGAACTCCTGCCACAATACCACATAACCAATAATTGAAGTGGAGGACAAATGAACAAATGTAAAGTGGAGATTCCATATCGTTCAATGAAGTTTTGCAAGGAGAACAAAAGAGTGAGAGAGGGATTCAGATTAGATTCTTCTCTCGGCAAAGCCAACGTACTGCCAGTTGAAGAACAGAAAAAACTAAGCAATCTCAGACAATGGAAGCAGAATCCAACCTCAAGTGACAATCCCTCAAATCCACAAGCAAGAAGAAAGACAAGTTCAAGACGAAATCCAGAGTGGGAATTGAAGAAGGAGAATGCCCTTAAACGTGAAAGCAGAGATCAAGTCCAAATTCCCCTCTTTTAAGGCTTTTTTTTAGCTTAAAGTTCATAAGATCTTATACTGATGCAGAAAGATGATTTCTGAAACAATCTAAGATTTTGTTTGATCATCAGACATGGATCGAGGGTTTCAACTTGAGTTCAAAACTTTAAGGATTCGGGCTGGAGAGCCACAGAGGCGAGATCTTTATCAGACATTTCTTCATCGGAAACATCGAAACCCCCCGGCATATCTTAAATCGGACGAGAACTAAACATCGTACAGAGAATAAGAACCATCAACGAGGAAACCCAATAACGCGTTACTGTACAAGAATTAGCCTGCTACTTCCCATACCTCCACCGAAATCTCCATCGTCTTCCTCCTCCTCCGGCGAATTCTCCGCCGTCTTAGGCACCGTCACTATCAGCTCTCCGTCCTCGCAGGCAACGGTCACGAGCTCGGGCCTAGTCGTCTCAGGCAACCGAAATCGCCACACGTCGAGCTCAAGCTCGTCCAACAACGACGAACCCAGACACGACAACGATCCGTTTGCCCTGACGACGATCTTCATCACACCGGGATGGATCTCCACCATGTGGGCCATCACTCCTCCGCCGACTCCTACCGGGAAGCCGTCGGTCTCCGCCGAGAACTTGAAGCAGTCGGGCATCTCCTCCACCGCCACGTCAGCGTCGGACCTGAAGGGAAGCTCCAGGACCCGGCTGAAGATATGGGGCAAACGCCGGAGCTTCTTGACCGGATCTCGGGGATTCGAGTCGCGAGCACCGTGATAGGTCAGGATGTTGTTCCGCTTCCTGGGCAGAGGATGGACTCTCATGGCTTCCGCGTGTCGGATTTCTCGCTCGATGGAGCGAAAAGGAGCGATTGGGACAAAATTAATAGATGAATCGAAAGCGAATATGATAAAGGTGATGGGTCTTGGATGGGAATCAAAACCATAAAATAAAAGCTACGGCTCTGGAATTTCTCCGGCAAACGAAACCCTAATTCCCCAGAAGAAAAAAAAAATCGAAAATTTTCCTGGGAAATCTCAAATTTTTTTAATTGGGTTATGGAATGTGTCAGCAGTAGATCGAATCTTTCGATGGGTTTTCTGAATTTAGGAAATTAAAAGACGGGAGAGTTGACAAACCGTAGAGAGAAAAAAAAAATGTGATTTTTGGAGAAGCGAAGAGACAGAAAAAAAAAGCTGGTTCCTTTTAACGTATGGGTGCGAAGCGAAGGCACACCATGAGATAAGGGGAGGGTAAGTAGTTAAATTACATTATTGCCCCTGTTTGATAGCATAATTACGTCACGTATCTTCTCCGAGGATTAGGTTTCCTTATGATAATCATTAAAGAAATCATATAGCAATAACTAATACTATTCCTTTTACGTAACCTCATATTCACCGTATTAGATTCTTACTTGTACAGATCATTTATTCCTGAATTAAAAATTAAATCTTGGTAGGTGGAAAGTTATCTTATATCAATGGTATATATTTCACATAATGATCTTTGAATTATGGATTTATGGAAAATATAAATTACTAGTACCTCATATGATTGATCTCAATAATCATATTAATTGCTTGATTAGAATTCGTCGGTAAATATAAATAAATTAATTTGTTAGGGAAATAAAGAAAACATTTTGAAAAATGGGCACGTGTATATTGTTTATAGCGATTTATAATATATGTTAAAAAGAATTTAACAAAAAAATATATATGTTAAAAAGAACCTTTTTGTTTTTAACTTTATGACAAAGAAAAACATATTCCTTGAGTCACCATACCCTTTTTTCTCTATTTAAAAAATAATATCGGAAATTAATTTTGTTTTATTTCTCACGCATGGATTTAAGTGAAATTTACATAAATTCAAAAGGAAAAGGAAATGAGTCAAATTAATTTAAATCTCGTGAATATCATAAATACGCACACGAACAAGTGTTCGGTCCAAAGAGACTGAAAAAAAGACAGGAACGAAAGTGCCAATGGTCTTGGTAAGAATTTTGGATTTTCTTATATAAAAATAATAATTTTGGATTTTGTGTGAACCGACGTGTTGTGCTTTTTTTTATAAAAAAAAAAAATTGCTGCTTCAAATTTGGCCACATATTGTTGGTCTTATTCTAACCTATTTTGATACATAGAATTGAAAAAAAAATAGTAAATATATTTGTAAAGAAATCCTAATTGTCTAATAAAATAATAAATAAGTAAATTCTATTATATTTAAACTTTCCATATATTTCTATATAGGGATGGAGAAGGAAACCTTAGACTTTTTCTTTCTTTTTATATAATTATTTTTAGGTGTATATGCGAAGACATTATATTCATGGGATTAATTACACAAAACTCTCCTTTTTTATTGTTTATGAAATTATTATTCATGGTTTTACGTTGTAAGTGTGGCATTTCTCTTTCTTAAAAGAAGTTATTCGTATGGTTTTGAGGATGAATAACTTTTATTGCAGAACAAATATTAGGTTGACCATTATAGCACTAATTTAGATTATTATTATTATTATTATTATTATTATTATTATTATTATTATTATTATTATTCACCTATTTAACTCAAAATATTTCGAGAATGGCCTATAATATATTTTTTAATATTTATTTTTTGAATGCAGAATTTCAGGAATATATCTCATAATTGTGAAAGAAATATTAAATTAGACTAACAGAAGAAAAAAGGATTATTGAATTGAAACACTTTACAATGCCTCAAATTTGTGTTAACTCGGATAAAATGTAAACTAAGAGGCGTTTTAGGTAAAGTTCAGAAATATCAGGGGCTTAATCTCACATTTTGAAATTCTTCATACATACGGGAAATGCCTCCTGCCGCCGCCACCACACGAGCAGCTATGCCCCTTCCGCCGCCGGCGATCTCCGCCGGAGTCGCCGCTGCTTCCGGCGGCGATTCAATCGCTTCCGTTATCAGGGCACTCTATTATGTGATTTATTATTGAATTGAAACACTTTACAATGCCTCAAATTTGTGTTAACTCGGATAAAATGTAAACTAAGAGGCGTTTTAGGTAAAGTTCAGAAATATCAGGGGCTTAATCTCACATTTTGAAATTCTTCATACATACGGGAAATGCCTCCTGCCGCCGCCACCACACGAGCAGCTATGCCCCTTCCGCCGCCGGCGATCTCCGCCGGAGTCGCCGCTGCTTCCGGCGGCTATTCAATCGCTTCCGTTATAAGGGCACTCTCCGTCTGTACCACAATCGATCAAATCAAGCAAATCCACGCGCATATTTGGCGGACGAAGCTCGACCACCGATCATACTCACTTCTCTTCGACCTTGTCCTCTCTTATTCTTCTCTCAGCCTCAGCTACGCCATCTCCGTCTTCTCGTCTATGCACTCTCCGCCGCCGTCTCACCTTTTCAACCGCCTTCTCCGGCAGCTCTCCCGTTCCGGTGAACCCAGTTCGGCCCTCTTGTTCTACCGGAGAATCAGAGACGCGGGTGGTCTTCTCGATGAATACAGTTTCCCTCCTCTCCTCAAAGCCGCGGCCAAAGTATCGACCTTGGTCGAGGGTATGGAGATTCACGGCGTCGCGGTTAAGCTCGGGTCTGTGTCGGACCCGTTTGTGGAAACTTGTCTTATGGGCATGTACACATCTTGTGACAGAGTTGCTGACGCTCGCAAGGTGTTCGATAGAATGGCGCACAGAGACGTTGTCTCGTGGAATGCAATGATTGATGGGTAGATTCAGAAATATCTTGCTGCTTACAGAAACTGAGTGGAACATTGTTAAAGTGTCAATCTTGTTTGAAGTTCTCTTTTTGCTTGTTTGCAGGTACTGCAGACGCGGCATTTTAGACGAAGCCTTCAAGCTTTTTGAGGAGATGAAGAATTCTAATGTAATGCCAGATGAGATCATTCTCTGTAATATTGTCTCAGCATGCGGTCGTGTAAAGAATCTAAACTATAGCAAGGCGGTTCACAGATTTATTATCGAAAACAAGGTAAAGATGGACGCGTATTTGCTGAGTGCTCTTGTTACGATGTATGCTGGAACAGGATGTATGGATATGGCTCAGCAGTTGTTTGCAAAGATGCCTGAGAGGAACTTGATTGTTTCAACCGCCATGGTTTCCGGGTTTTCTAGAGCTGGAAGAATTGATGATGCTCGGGCTATATTCTGCCAAATGGAAGAGAAAGACTTGGTGTGTTGGAGTGCCATGATTTCAGGTTATGCTGAAAACGATCGGCCTGAAGAAGCGCTCAGAATTTTCGAGGAGATGCTGGCCTTGGGAATAAATCCCGATCAGATTACCATGTTGAGTGTTATATCAGCATGTGCCAATCTCGGTACTATGGATAAGGCTAATTCAGTTCACTCGTGCATAGATCATTACGAGCTCGGATCAGAATTGCCAATAAACAATGCCCTTATTGATATGTACGCAAAATGTGGGAGTTTGGAGAGAGCAAGAGATGTTTTTGAGAAGATGCCAAGAAGAAATGTGACATCATGGACCAGCATGATCAATGCCTTTGCAATGCATGGAGAATCCACTGATGCACTTAGCTTGTTCGCCCGATTGAAAGAGGAAAAAATCGAGCCTAACGGTGTTACTTTCCTTGCTGTACTCTATGCTTGTAACCACGCTGGATTTGTTGAGGAGGGCAAGATGATTTTTGCGTCAATGGTGGATGAATACGACATCGCCCCTAAACACGAGCACTATGGCTGCATGGTGGATCTCTTAGGCCGTGCTAATCGGCTAAGAGAAGCTCTAGATCTCATTGAATCAATGCCTATGGCTTCTAATGTCATCATCTGGGGATCGCTGATGTCTGCTTGCAGGATTCACGATGAGTTTGAATTAGGAGAACTCGCAGCCAAACGTGTTCTTGATTTGGAACCTCGCCATGGTGGGGCTCTCGTGATATTATCCAATATCTATGCCAGAGAACAGAGGTGGGACGACGCCAGGAACATCAGACAATTAATGGAAGAAAAGGGTGTCGTCAAGGATAAGGGTATTAGCCAGATAGACCCGAATGGCAAGACACGCGAGAAACACGAGCAGTCAGACAAGATCTACTCGAAGCTCGACTCAATGAGGTTGTCTGCGAACTTCTAAAACTACGATCATTTGCTTAATTATGCGCTTAGATCATGCTTTTGAAAGAAAAAACTAGGATAAACACTTCAAGTTCTTCAAAGTTTTCATTTTTTTTTCACAATGCACTAAAGAAGAGATAGTAAGAAGCTTGTTTATATTGTTGCGTTGGGGAGGAAGGATGACTGTTAGAGACTGGACTCGGTTTTCACAGACAGGTTTGTGTTCTTGCAGAGTTTACAAGTGGAAGTGAGTTGCAATCTTTGCAGTTTGAGGACTTGGCAAAATAGAACAGAAAAAGAAACGGTTGATTCATAATCTTGGGAATTGTAAAGAAGAATCAGGTATGTTGTTAATCATGTTATACCTAATGAGAATATGTTATCCATATCATCTACATAACAAATCTAAAGTCAAGTTCTTTATATCTCGATTTACTATTTGGTTCCTTGTTCAAGTACTTTCGAGAAATCGTGTGTTATATGGATGTTTGTGTATGCCACAGGGAGAAACACAAAATCATCATCATCACCATCGCCATCATCCATCATCATCATCATCATCATCCGCACAAGAAGGTTTCTCTTCTTCTTTGGTTAACTTGATTATCATCTTTTATGTGAAACCGAAGCATCGAAGATTATACATTAGTGCCATTTTCAAGCAAAGCAAAACACTAAAGAAAAGATCAGTAAAGCTTCTTGGTGTCAGATCTTCCGAACTGCTTCGCCGGCGACAAGTCGCCGGACCTCCGGCGTAGCAATTGCCTCATGCCGTCGGCTACCAGCACCGCCGGGTTCGCTTTGAACTTCCCACAAAACGACATGTGGGCCCTCACCGCCTGATCCACCGGGAAACCCGACTCCTCCTCCGCCGCCGCCGCTGCTGACGCAATTTTCCGGCGGGTGATTTCGTCTCTCACCGCCTCCGAGCAGAGCCCACAGAGCCATTTTCCGTCGAAGTTTGCCTTCACCTCGCTAATGTAGTCTTGTGTACAGTCCTCGTTTAGCCCACAACACTCGCAGGTAACCGATTCGATCTCCATTTTTATTATTGAAGTGTTTTTTTCCGAATCTTTTGATCGATTTCCCAAATGGGTATCGGAAAAAAGGTTTCTTTTTTGAAAATTTTGAATATTTCTTTCCTTTGGAGTTGGTTATGTGATGTGGGTTTGTTGGTTTGATGATTTGATGTGAGAGAAATGTTGAAACTCCAAAGCTTATTGCTTAATTTATATATGCTGCATGGTGGGGTTTCTACAGAGGAAATGCAATAAATATATTTATTTATAGGTTTCCGGTAATTGATCGTAGGATCTTTAAGATAAAACATGTTAGTGAGAGTGTATATATACACATATATACGCATATGAAGTTTAAAATAAATGTTAGAATGAGGATGAGGGGTTTGCCGTAGTTGTTTGCTCCATGTTCTAAAGGACACGGGGAAGGTGGGAGTGGAGACAAAGGTGGTCGAGTTTGACGGGTGCCCCCACCATTTTCAGACCTTCTAATCTACTTCTCAAATATTGTTATATCCACATCATATATATATATATATATATATATATATATATATAATCTAAAATTTACATTTCAATATTACAGTTTGTGTGTGTATATATATGGATGTCTAGATTAATAGTTGTGGGCTAGTATCTTAAACTAATGTTAAAGGTGTGAATTTTTCATGATAATACGGGTTTGATGTATATATATATTTGTTAACGTATATATCTCGGGATCGGAAGTCAGCCAAATGTTTTAGAATATATGTTCTCTTCTCAAATTTGAAGTTCGAATCTGTGCATCTATTTTACCAATTAAACTATCCAAATTTGGGTATATATATATATAGATAGATGTTGAGTCCATACATATACATTTTAAATCGATTAGACGTCTCAATTTTTTGGGTAATTAAAGAGGGAAAAAGAGAGAGAGTGGAGACAGTATCAAATGCGGTTAGTGACTTCGTGATGCCAATTTGTCATGTCATAACTCGACATTCGCTCGATTCTTCTCCACAGACTGTCCTTTGGATTTTCAGCCATAGATTTGTCTATGCATTTATACACATATACGTGTCTTTCCATACGCACAACCACACTTACATGAACATGTAAGCACATATTGTATATAAATAATAATTTCTAAAATAAATATTTGATTTTAATTTCCCCTAACTAATAAAACACAAAAAAAAATTTGGTTGTTTTTGAGACGTGCTTTCATTGGATAAAACCCTATGTATTGTTCAAAAACTAGCTCCAACGAAAAAAGAAGAGTTTTTTTTATATCTAAAGTATGGTTGATAAAAATCCAACCTAAATTCAGATAAAACTAAAATTAATAAAACAAATTGATATAAAATAAATTTATAATGATTTAAAAAAAACATATTATGTTATAAAAATAAATAGAACAAAATATCCACTAAATATTCTAGACCGTGGTGTCAATTTAATAATATGATTATATGGTTTTATGTCAGACGTTTGTTCTGAAGACTCCTGTGGAAACAGGAACTTTAGAGCAATAATGGAGTTATATTGTTTCTTTAAACATGTTTCAAATATATATATATATATATATATATATAAGAATTCATATCTTATTATTGAAACTATACATATATATATATTGGGTTTTCCTGAGATCTCATGAGCGAATCTTATTCCTAAGATATCGGTTCTAGGGTTTGCGCAGCGGATGTAAAACCAAAATTTGTTAAAACCCTAAAACCTATCATGCATGATCTTGTAGAAACGTTAGAACGCTTACCTCAATCGATCCGGGACCTGTTTCAATTGATGTGTTCGTCCGATCACTATAGGCAGGAAGAATACCTTATCCTCTATACGTATCCACACCTCGGAATGGATTCCAACCTTTGGAACTTGTCTGCTAGGACACGAATCTTCTATTCGATGATGTGCTTTGAGAAAGAGAGATTAAGATCACTTCTTCAACCCCTTAGACTCTCTAAAAGGGTCTGAAAAGTTCTCTAGGTCAGCTCCTTAGCGTTAGGGTTCTATTTCTCCTCTTATTCAAATGATTAACCCTAGATTCGGACTTTAAAATTAAATCCGTACCCCAAACCGAACGGACTGCTTAGTAGTCTGTTCGGTCTGGACACTTGGTCCGTTCGGACCAGTTTCATAACTGGGTCCGTTCGAACTGACGGGTCAGTCCGTTCGGTCCAACACTTGGTCCGTTCGGACTGAACTCTCTAGTTCGTTCGGTCCAACAACTTGGTCCGTTCAGACTAGATGCTCCGGTCCGTTCGGTCTACTCCTAGACCGGTCCAGACCACTTATCCAGTTTTCTCGACGTTTTCTCGTGCATTTGTCCTTCCTTGCGTGTGTGACCCTGTAGGCTCATTCGATATAGCAGTATAACCCGAAATCTCTATTCCGGATATACAAGTCATAGGCGGTCTCTAGCAAGACACTATGACTACCTATCTCGAATAGAGTTTTTT